ACAGGAAGCAACTCTGCTTAGAGCATTTCAATACTGCTAGCTTGCGCGTAACAAAAGGGAATGTTGTTAATACTTCCTGGCCGTGTTGCTGAACAACATCTAAAAACTTTTACAAACGACAGCTTATAAGAGCCCTTCCCTTTCACTCTTTGTCAGTTTAATATGAAAGAGAGTTTTGATGAAAACGTGAACAGAGATTGTCTGCTAAGCCTTGTTAGCGGGCGTCCTGGGCTACTTTTCGTTATCGGTCGATGTCAAGTATACCAAGTTTTGCAAACTTTAAGCTGCCAGGCTGGGAATCGGTACATGAGGGCGAGCGCATGCTGAATGTGATTGTTTCTGTTCGCTGTTGAAACACCCAGTTCTTCTATGGATTTTACTGATAATTTGAATTAAGGCTTGAGACTGGCACAAAGAGCCTGTTGTTTACGGATATACTGACCTTTGTAAGAAACCGATAAATTTTTTTGAATAAACTTTGATTCAATGGAGTGGGAGCTGCCATGCAGCATAGGAGGGTTAAATGATCATGCCGCTGGCATATAAGATCTAGAAGTGGGGAAACAGTGGCGTACCGAGGGGGTGGGAAGCGCTTCCGAAAATAATGAATTCGATCTTGTAATGCGAAAACCAACGGGAGTCGGCTACTCCAGTTAATTTACGAATCATTTCAGTCTAATAATTTTTACTGCAATTTTTTATCAAATACCCAAAACTAGTCCTTCCTAATACAATATAATGTGTTTCAGGTAGCCATGGGTCCCACTGAACAAAAAGATCTTCCACTGCCATTGGAAACGAGACCGTGGATAGAGAAAGGACTAGCTGCTTTGAAAGAAAAGGATCCAAAACCGATATACAGGCCACCACAATCTGAAAAGTTAGTACAATGCTTATGGACATTAGTAAAGTCACACGTTTGCAGGACCAAACAAAGAAAAACGCACTTTGCCGAGAAGACCGTCGAGCATACTTTCTTTGATGATCTGCAAACAAGTTTAATTGTTAAGGTGAATGAGCAGCCACTTTTATCTCCTAACAATGTGCTGCCTCATTCTATTCTAGACAAGTAGAGTTTGAAAGCTTTCGAATTAGCTATACTTTGTAATCTGTAGTTCTCGGAAACAAATTGCGCTTTCTTAGGCAAACGACAGTGTTACTAAAAGAGCAAGCAGGGTACCTTCCGTAGAACAAACCAGAAGCATCTTTTTGATTTCCTCACAAACTTTGTAAGCAATGTTTAACATATCATTGCGTTCAAAATGGATAATTGGCACGATTACCTGAACACGTGCAGAATATGTATGTATGTCCTGTATTGATTTATGTTTCTGTGTCTGTCGTACTTCCCAACCACCGCAACGTACTTAGTGCTGCTTTTAACGCATTGATAAAGCGCACGGGCTTGTTACCCTGATTTCACGCATACAAGGAGCGGGGGATTTTTTTATTAAATTGACCACCCCAACATGCCAAAGTATTACGAGACCAAAGGACGCTATAAACAGCAGCATATTGATTGAGAGAATAGTGCGGTATAAGTTTTGTTTCCTGAAATACAGTAAAGCGGCTGTGCGACTCGCTTGAAAAATTGAAAAGTGCGCCTTGTATGCGTGA